GAAATATTAGGAAAATTAGTTTCACTTCTGTAACTGGCCAGATGGTTGCAGCTGGTTTTTTTTTTTTTTTTTTTTTTTACAATCACCTTCTTCACTACACATTCTGCATTGCCTTTACCTTTGCCTTCAGCCAGCATCTAATCTGCTTAAGATCCTTTACCTGGTGAGACAATCCAAACCTTCAAAAGGGTGTGGACTATTAGCAGTCCTGCCTGGAAGACGTTGTTATTTTCCTTAATCATGGAGAATGGTAACATAAAGAGAAACCCTAAGGTCCTCTCATCAGACATATTCTTCCTTATCTCTTTTGTGGAGTGGTAGTCCAATCTCCCCCCCTGGTAGTCAGGAACTGTCACCACAGTCAGTATCATAACTCTCTTGTTGATTTTTTTTTTTCCTATTGAATCCTTCATTCTTTGCCCCCACCCCACTCCTCTTTTGGTAGTGCTGGGGGATTGAACTCAGGGCCTTGCATGACATGCTAGGCCTACCATTGAGTCACATCCCAACCCTGACCTTTTTATCTTCCAAGCAAAGCACACAACCAAGTATACCTCTCAAAGTTATTCTCACTGGGGGGTTTCTCTTCACCACTATCCTTCAGGGATATCCCAGAAAGGGTCTGTTTTGCTGCAGCCCACTTTGGAGTGATGCCTGCATATCATGCAGAAGAATCTATGAGGCAGATCCAAGTCTTCTCTTTGTCTCCACTGGTCACAGTATGCTCCCCTCATGGGAGGTTCATGCTGAGAAAGAGAAGAGCAAGTGTAGCATGAGTGAGGCATGGGAATTTTTGGTTCACTTCTTTATGTAACTTACTGTGCCTTAAAGGCGTGCTTGGTGTGTGCCACTTTCATTTGATGATGAAGTGCTGCTGTGCACACCAAAATTTATGGGTTGGTGGGTCAGGTGACACCTGGATCATGATAGGAAATTCAAACTGCATGGTACCTTGGTGACCCATCATTGAGCCTTGACGTAGGTAAAAAGCTATTTCCCAAAAGGAGAATTTTTGCCACAAAGGATGGCAGGGCTTTACTCTAAAATCCCAATGGTCTGCACTATCATTAATCTATAAAGGCCTGCCAAAGGTTCCAAACAGCTTCCCTCTCTTGTCACTGATACTTTAACCACCATTGGATCTTCTGGATCATGTGGCCCAATTGGCGGAGCAGCTTGCCTAGCAGCATGGATTTATCATAGAGACATCATTTTTTTTTTTTTTTTCCTTCTGAGGCTGTTTTTTTTTTTTTTTTTGTTGTTGTTGTTGTTGTTGTTGTAGTTTTAACTCAAAATCTTAAAAGCAGCTTTCTAGGTCATTTGGTAAATGTCCTGGAGTAGCCCACCCAAATGGGATATATATTTCCTCCAAAATCCAAAAAGGCCCTGTAGGCATTGTGTCTCTTTTAGATGCAGTTTAAAAAAAAACACACAAAAAACTGACAAGAACAATTAGAATAGGAAAATGTATTTGGGGGTCATGGTTTCTGAGGTCTCAGTCTATAGACAGTTGACCCCATTACCTGGGACCTAGGTGAGCAGAACATCATGGTGGAAAGGTGTGAAGGAAGAAAGCAGCTCAGAACATGGCAATCAGGAAACAGACAGAGGGGCCCCCACTCACCACGGATAAATATAAGCACTAAAGGCATGCCCCCATTGTGACTCATCTCTTCTAGCCATACCTTACCTATCTACATTTACCACCTAGTCAATCCATATCAACGAACTAATGTACGATTTTGGTTATACCTCTTATAATCTAATCATTTCACATTTGAAAATTCTTGCATTGTCTCACACATGAAATTTTGGGAGATGCCTATATCTAAACCTTAACATTCTCATACCTTAGAAGGGCTATCTTTTTAAATTAATTAATTAATTAATTAATTTTATAGTAGAATGCATTTTGACATATAGTATACAAAGGGAGCACAACTTCTCATTCCTCTGGTTGTACATAATTCAGAGTCACTCCGCTAGTATAATCATACATGATATAGGGTAATAACGTCTGTTTCTTTCTAGTGTCCTTCCTATCCCCACAACCCCACCCCTCCCCTGTCCCCTCTACACAAACCAAAGTTCCTTCATTGTTCCCTATCCCTCAGCTCCACTATAGATCAGCATCCACTTGTCAGAGAAAACATTTGGCTTTTAGTTTTTTGGGATTATTTCACTTAGCATGATATTCTCTAGTTCCATCCATTTACCTGCAAATGCTATAATTTTATTCTTCTTTAATGCTGAGTAATATTCCACTGTGTAGATGTACCACATTTTCTTTATCCATTCATCTGTTGAAGGACATCTAATTTGGTTTCATAGTTTAGCTATTGTGAATTGAGCTACTATAAACATTGATATGGCTACATCACTGAGCCATATCAATGTAGTATGCTGATTTTAAGTCCTTTGGGTATGAACTGAGGAGTGGGATAGCCGTGTCAAATGGTGGTTCCATTCCAAGTTTTCTAAGGAATCTCTATACTGTTTCCATAGTGGTTGCACCAATTTGCAGTCCCACCAACAATGTATGTGTGTACCTTTTCACCTACGTCCTCACCAACACTTATTATTGCTTGTATTCTTGATTATTGCCATTCTGACTGGAGTGAGATGAAATCTTAGAGTAGTTTTGATTTGCATTTCTCTAATTACTAGAGATAATGAACATTTTTGCCATATGTTTGTTGATCAAGAAGGGCTATCTTGACATGCTTCATACCACCGGGCCCCTAGAAATGCCACTGAAGTAGAAGACCTCTGATTTTTTTTTTCATGTTTATTTCCTATCCTCTAACATTCAAGTGTCCTACCAATAAGCATGGGGGACCTTGTTTTCTAGGTCCCATTGCATATGGTTATTAAAGTAATGGAACAATGTGATATCTTGTAGGAGAAAGACAATCAAAATCCTTACAAACTACGTTGTGACATAAGGCTGGAAATTTTATATAATCCTGAGGGAGGACATTTTATCCCCCTTGGGTAAGGGTAGACTACTATAAATTCACCTAGCTGGAGTCAGGTACTACATGATGACATTTTGGTCAATGACAGACTACATATATGATGTGTCCTGTAAGGTTATAATGAAGCCGAAAAATTCCTATCACCTAGAGACATCATAATTGTCATAATATATGGCACAACTCATTGCTCATGTGTATAAGGGTGATGCTGTTGTAAACAAACTTATGGCATTATCAGTTGTATAAAAGCATATAGCACATATAATTATGTACAGTATATAAAACATTTTTTGGCAGTGCTGGTGATTGAATTCTAAATCTTGTACATACTAAGAAAATACTCTGCCACTGAGCTATACAGCCCAAATTTTTTTAGTGGGCGTTTGAACCTGGTGTCTTGCATATGTTAAGCATGCACTCTACCACTGAGCCACACCCCCAGCCAAGTATATAATATTTGATAATGATAATAAGTGACTATGTTATTGGTTTACATATTTGCTATACTATGCTTTTTATAATTATTTTATTATTTTATTTTTAAATTTGTGCAGGTTTTTTTAATATTTATTTTTTAGTTATAGGTGGACACAATATCTTTTTTTAATTTTTATGTGGTGCTGAGGATTGAACCTAGTGCCTCATGCATGCTAGGCGAGTGCTCTTCCTCTGAGCCACAACCCCAGCCCTAATTATTTTATAATGTACTCTTTTTAGTTGTAAGAAAAAAGCTTGCATGAATTGAACATGTTGAATTAGTGATCTATACCATCTAAGTTTACATAACTATACTCTGTGATATTTGCATGATGACAGTTTCACCTAATAATACATTTCTCAGAACATATCTCTATCATTAAGTGACCCACATGATAGTATTTATATGCACATATATATGCATATATACATACATATCTTATACACATATATGCATATATATGTATATACACATATGTTTATGTATACACGTATATATGGAGAGATGTATATACATGTATATATGGAAAGAGGGAGAGAGAGAGAGAGAGAGAGAGATATTTTGATTTTGATTGATTTATTTAAGGAACTGGTTTATGCAGCTATAAAAGAAGGCTGGAAAGTCCAAAATCTACAGTGTGGGCCATTAGGGTGGACACCCAGGGAAGAGCCACTGTTGCATGCTTTAGCTCAAACCCAGAGGTTATTTGCTGACAATGTTTTTGTTTTTCTTGAGAGAGGTCAGTCTGATCTTATTCAGTCCTTCAACTGATTGTATAAAGCCCATCCACAATATGGAGGGCAATCTGCTTTACTCAAAACCCACTAATTTAAAGCCATGCTCATCCAAAAACATTCTTCTAGAAATGTCCAGAGTGATATTTCACTAAATATCTGGGCACAGTGGTCCAGCCATGTTAACTCATAAAATTAGCAATTACAATGAATAAAGTTTGTTTCATCAACAATTTCTAATTCCTTCTTCCATATCTTGTCCCCCATCACCATATTCAGTTCCACATATCCTTATATTGCCCCTTTCTTGCCCAAGGTAGTCTGTTCAATTCTACTCCTGATTTTAGAATTATATTTATCTTATCCCTATTACAACCCCCACTTCCCAGGAAACTTTTCACAACTGTTATACAAATAAAAGGTAACCCTATAAATAGTCTCTATTATTTATTAAACTATTTACTGTGTTAATAGTTTATGTTGAATCATTAACTATTGATTCAATATAATCAATAGTTGATTAATACAGAACTCCCATGAGTGTTCTGTATTAATCAACTAATACATTAAGTCGTGGGAGTGTTCTGTATTAAATGCACATGGACAGGTAGAGTTAAGACAATGTAATGGGTAGGGAATGGAGACAATTTTTGACAAGGGAATTTTCTGGCTGCCTTATAATGTCATTTTGTGGGTGGCTATCCAGTCCTTGTATAGTCAAACCCCAGCCATTTAATACCTGGTTCTCCTTTTTGTTTTTCCTCCTCTGCTCCACGTTTTACTTTTTATTGAACATGTTACAAAAGAGGTTTAGTTAAAAAGATCAAATCCCACGTCATTGTCAGACTCCTCAGATTCTTGTTTCTTTGCTTCCACTTCCTTCTCCTCAGCTGGGGCAGCAGTGATGGTGGTGGAGACAGGCCCTCCTGCTGGAACAGGTCTGCCAGCCCCCACATTGCTGATGAGGGTCCTGATGTCGACATTGGCCTGGGCCTTTGCAAACAAGCCAGGCCCAAAAGGTCCAAAATTTACACCAGATATTTTATTTATTTATTTTTTTTAGTTGTTGTTGGACACATACCTTTTTTATTTTTTTTTTATGTGGTGCTGAGAATCGAACTCAGGGCCTCACTCATGCTAGGCAAACACTCTACTGCTAAGCCACAATCGCAGCCCCACCAGATGTTTTAATTACGACATTGTTTTTAATATTCTTCTCCATGAAGGATGAGATTGGGCTAGATGCAGACAAGTTCAGGAATGAAGGCCATGGTGAGGGTATGCTCAGTGCTACTTCAGTGAGGAGAGGGCCTCACCCAGTAAATCCTTAGCTTTCTCAGAAGGATAAATCACTGCGGTGGCAGCTGAGGAAAGTCTGTTCCTTTTTAATGCTTTTTTCCAAAAAGGATAAATGTAAAGATAAATAATTTTTTTAAATTTAATACCTTTATTCCATTCATTTATTTTTATGTGGTGCTGAGGATCGAACCCAGGGCCCCTGCGCATGCTAGGCGAGCACCCTACAATCCCAGCCCTAGAAGTTGGAGATGGTATTCTTTTTTTTTTTTTTCAGGAACTTGCAGGAGTTTAGTAGAGTTGGACAACAAGATGCTGAAATAGCGTGGTAGGAGATGACACTAATAAAACTGTCAGGAGTGAGATCCTGAATAACTATGTAGGTATCCACAGGAGTCTGGAATGCCTCTTGAAGGGGAAAGGTACCCATTGGATGGGAAGCAGGGTTAAATAAGGTCCGATTTGTATTTTTGAAAGGTTCCTCTTGTGTGAAGGTTCTCAGGATGAATTGTAGCCATGGTGGAATAACAGTGGTTCACTCATGTGGGTGCCTCTTATTCTTGTCTTTTTTTTCCTTCTCATAGGCCTCAGGGGCTCAACTTATTTCTTTTTCCTTTGGTACATGCCACCATTTTTTCTGTCCATTGGATATATTTCTACAAAATTCCCTAAGATTGGGACATATGTGTCCTAGCTCCTCATATTTTTATTATATACAAGCCTTTTTGTCTTAATAGCTATTGGTATTTATTGGAATATGAAGACAGAGGGTTACAAAAATCACAAACATGGGGATGTTTAAAAACCTTAAGCTATTTCAACTATAGTTTTTTGATTCTTTAGAAATGGCAACCGGAAGCCCAGCCATCCTTCAACCCATCAAGCTTCATGGTAAGGAGGACACTGATAGCCATTGAATCTGATGGGACTAAATATGTGAATAGGGAAATGTACCTCCATAAAGAAATGATGAATGATATGTCATTACTCTCCTTTTATTTATTTATTTTTTTTATTTTTTATTTTTTTTAGCCTTTTTTTTTTAATTTTTTATTGTTGGCTGTTCAAAACATTACATAGTTCTTGATATATCATATTTCACAATTTGATTCAAGTGGGTTATGAGCTCCCATTTTTACCCCATATACAGATTGCAGAATCACATCAGTTACACATCCATTGATTTACATATTGCCATACTAGTGTCTGTTGTATTCTGCTGCCTTTCCTATCCTCTACTATCACCCCTCCCCTCCCCTCCCCTCCCCTCTTCTCTCTCTGCCCCCTCTACTGACATTCGTTTGTCCCCCTTGTATTATTTTTCCCCTTCCCCTCACTTCCTCTTGTATGTACTTTTGTATAACTCTGAGGGTCTCCTTCCGTTTCCATGCATTTTCCCTTCTCTCTCCCTTTCCCTCCCACCTCTCATCCCTGTTCATTACTCTCCTTTTAAAGTTAAGTTAGTTCAGAACTTTTTGATTAGGAGAGAAAATCCTTTCCATTTTCTCGATGTTCAAATTAGACCCAGATGTCCCCTTTCCTTCATGTATCATTTATTTTTCTCTTCTGTCTTTATTCTCAAAATACCTAAAGCAGAGCTCCATATAGCTGAGGGTTAGACAAAGTTCTTCTGTATCAGTGTCTTGACTGGCCCATAGTTACAAAGGTTTCTTTGTTATGGTGTTAGTGATGTTGTTTAAGGCTGGGTTGGGTAAATATTAGCTTTTAAAGTTTCTTCCTTTCAACTGGTACATAAGCAGTTTCCAAAACAGCTGTAGAATAGAGATGGATAGGACAGACTGGTAAGTCATTGTGAGAGAGTATCAGGCAAGAAGAAAGCAAGGGGTTCAATAGATTTTAATAGTTGGGAGCCTGAGAACTTTAGTGGCAAGCTGGTGTCAATAGCTTTTCTGCCAGTGAACAAAGATATTGCTTAAGCATTGGAACCACACCTTGAGTCTTCGGCAATCTCATCCAAATCTTGCCAGAAACTCTTAGATGAGGGTTCTTAGGCTAAGATGTATATCTACAGAGACTTTGTTTCTTGAATTAAGAAATGTATTGCCACTGGGAGTTGTGGTGCATGCCTGCAATCCCAGAAACTCAGGAGGCTGAGGTAGGAGGATCCCAAGTTCCAGAACAACCTCAGAAACTTAGCAAGGGCTTAAACAACCTAGTGAGACCCTGTCTCAAAATAAAAAAATAAATAAATAAAAAGCTGGGGATGTAGCTCAGAGGCAGATCACCCCTGGGTTCAATCCCCAATACAGGAAGGGGAGGTCTTCAGATTAAAAACAAAAACAGAGATTTATCTTTTCCTTTGTTTCCTCAGTACCGGGGATTAAGTCCAGGGGTGCTCTGCTTCTGAGCTACATATCCAGTCCTTTATTGTGTAATGTTTTACTTTGAGACAGGGTCTCGCTAAGTTGCTCTGGCTGATGTGGAACTTGTGACCCTCCTGTGCATTTGCCACGTTGCATGACTCATTTAGGGACTGTCTTTAAGGACTTGAAATAACAAAGGGCTTTTAGGTGAGAAACACTTTGCTAGTTAAATGTGACATTTTCAAGTCTATCTCCTTTTTACAATTTTTATTGGTGCATTATAATTATACATAATTATGGGATTCATTTTTGACATATTTGTACATGCACACATGTCCTTTGCTCACTTGATTCTATAACTAGCTGTGAAAGATCAATTCTGCTAAGATGATATTTTTCTTTTCACTACTTCAAAAAATTTTTCCATCCATTACTTCTTGGTAGAGTCTATACTAGTTGTTGGCTATATACTCATTCTAACTTCAAGAAACTTATGTAGCTTAGTGAGGAGATATTAAAAGAATCATAAAATATAGAAACATGTTGCTTTAAAGGTGGCAGCTCAAAGAATCAGAGTTTAAGTCATGTCTCTATGTTTGGGGAGGGGAAAAAAAAGGTTTCCTTGAAGAGGCAACGTTTACACAGTTATGGGGTGTGTGTGGGGGACTCCAGTAGAGTAACCAAAATGTGCAAAAGAACTGAGAATTGTTGGTCCAGTTGGAGAACTACATGTTCAGCCTCTTGGAGTGTAAAGGGCTGCCTCAACCGCGGTCAGAACACCAGGGTTTCTGTGTGCCATATAAGTTGATGTGATTCTAGTCTAGAGCTATTAATAGAAATCTGATAACTATCTACATTTGAGTAAAGATACCATTTAAATCTTCCTGAAGCAAACGCGCAGGTAATGATTTTTCAGAAACATTCCTCTCTAATCAAGTCTCTCTTGGCAGGAATGGTGGTATATTAATTTATAGGACTAAAAGTTCATGAGTCAAATGTGCTGACGGCCAGTTTTCAGTCCTCTCAGGTGGGCCAGCAGAGTAGGGCCAGGTCTCTTAAGTCCAGGCGCAGAGTGTTGGATAGTTGAGCCTGCCATTCCTCCTCTCTCCGAAATAAACTGAGGATTAGGGAGGCGATGGATGGGTACGGAGGGCTTTTAGAGGTCAAGCACATTACTCAGATCTTAAGTTGGGAACTGAAAGGCCTGTCACCAGAAAGACTGCCCGAGCCTGAATGGCGATTTGCAGTCAAGAATTCTGATACCTCTCTCTCCTCTCCTCACCTCTTCTAATCATTTGCAGTTTTTCCTCAGCTATTTGTCCTTTACCCACCCTGACTTGTCTGTCTCCCACGATCTCCTTTCCAAGTCTTTTGCTTTCTTTCTCCTCTTTCCTGCCTCGTGGGGTGCCAGTACTCGGAGCTTGGGCAGTTATTTGCTTTGCTAGCAGTTCCATCCTCCTCCTTCTATCATTTCTCGCCGGCGCCCAGTCCTCCCCTACCGCCGGGTTGGTCGGGTAGTTAGCCCGGAGGCGGCTCCAGGAACCTGAGGCGGATGCAGCCACGAGTCTGCCACGTCTTCGCTGCCAGCTGTCCAGCGCCTGCGTGGGGTCTGGGGGCGGGGCTGCGCGAGGGGCGGTATCTGCGCGTGAGCGGTGCGTGAGCGGCCCAATGGGGAGTGCCCGCGGCGGCGCGCTGCGCGCCGAGGGGCGGGGCTCGGCGGCGGTTGCTGGCGGAGCCTGGGAGGGCGAGGAGGCTATAGTTACCTCCGCCGTCGCATCCTCGAGGGAGTCGTGTCGCCGCCATCCCCGCCCCCGAGCTTGTCCACCGCTTCTGAAGCTCTGGTGTGCTCCCGGGAATCTCGCTAGCTGTCTGCCCTTGGCCTTGCGGACCGCGCCTCCAGCAGCATGTGTGGTAAGGGGCCGCGGGCGGGGGGCGTGTTGCGGGGCGGTGCTGGGGTGTGGTGGGGGCGCCGCGGAGGCCAGAGACGCCGGGTGGGAGTGGGAGTGCCGAGGGTACGAAGTCTGGGTGATAAGGCTAGGGGATGCCTGCGGTGGCAGCTGCGGCTGTCGCGGGGGCGGGAGTCCGAGTGGTGGTCCGGAGGAGGACACCTGAGAGGCAGGCGGGCGGGCCCCAGAGGCGATCCCAGGAGCCGGAGGGGGCGCCTTTGCGCATAGAAGGAACCAAGAGGAGCGAGAAATACCTATAGGGAAAAAGGAGGAGAGTGCTGAAGGAAAGGCGGGGTGTGAAGGGGGTGTCTGTAAAAGGGTTCACCAGGTGAGGCAACCTGTAGAACATCGAGTGGCATGTGTTGAACTTATCTTGCATTCTTTAAAAACAAAAACAAACCTTAATTTTATTCTCTTTCTTTCAAGCAGGCCCAATAGAAAACAGATACTAAATCTAGCTAGAGCTACAACAATGACATTATATATGGTCTTACTTCCTGCCACTCCCTGTCTCAACATAAGCCATTGCTAATCAATAACTTGATGAAGTAGGCTTAGATCTGATCCCCTGGTGTAAGAGCCCCTGAAATGTCCCTGGTGATAGATCGCACATCATGTTATCACTTGCATGTGCACCCATTTAAAATACTCGCTATGAAAAATTTAACGAGTGTCTTTCCTAGAACAGTTAAAAAGTAAAGTTAGACCCTTTTATTCCATGTTTGGGAGTTGTTTTATTACCCCAAAGTGTTGACATTTCCAGAATGGAATATTTTAAAAAAATATTTTTTAGTTGTTGATGTACCTTTATTATTTATTTATTTATTTATATGTGGTGCTGAGGATCGAACTCAGTGCCTCACACATGCCAGGCAAGTGCTCTGCCACTGAGCCAAAACCTCAGCCCCCAGAATGGAATCTTAAATTATGGATGTACTTAAACCATTGTCAATAAAAAGAATTGTATTTTTACTTTTCATTTTGAAATTTACAACAGACTTTAATCCTAGAAGACAGAACACTTTTTAAAGAGCAGTACAATTGTTATAGAATTGAAGCTACTTGGGAAACTTACTCTTTGCAGCCTTTGGCATGAAGGGACTGAGCAGGAGGTGGATTGTACTCACTAGTGTATATTTTTCCTATATTTAACTTTATGTTCATTTCAGCTTCTGAAAATGAGGAGCAGGTTTAAATTTAGAGTTGATTTTAAAAAAACACATAAAAACAAATGCCTATAAATAGCTTACTGAAATTAATAGAGTTGAGCTGATTTCAGAATCAGTTATACTTTTGGTATGTCTATGTGGTTTTTGTAAAACACATAATTAGTTTGGAGTTGTGAAATAGTGAATTTGCAAAGTGGTTAATCCCTGTTGTGCTCATGGCATTTAACTGCTTTTGAATGATGAGTTGTATGCCTGGTATTCTGATTGCAGCTCATTTCCTCATCTTGTTCCAGGAAAAAAGGGTGTCAAAGTAATATAAGATTAAAAAAAAAAAAAAAAAGAAAAGATCTGATTTAGGAAAGGTTTATATAAGGGTGAAACTTTCAGGGTGGAGACTAAATATTGACAGTTTTCGCAAAGCCAATATAGAATATCCATTCAGCAGAGTTTTACTGTTGAGAAAACTCATTATAAAGAATAAATAAGCTAGTACAACATTTTAGGCATTTCTGAGGTGCTGTTTATAACCCTGGCCATAGTTTTACATGATTCCAGGTGGGGTCCAGAATTTATTTCCTCTATAATGCAAATTCTGAAAGTTAACTGTTAAGAAGGTGAGAGTTTGCCTTTATTTTGCTTCCATAGCTTAATCACCGAAGTGAAATTTGGTCAGAAAAATTGAGTGGAAATGAGAATAGATGGAAGCATTAGAAGTTTCTAAATATTTGAGGCTGGGTGCAGTAATACACTCCTGTAATCAAGCAACTTAGAAGGCTGAGGCAGGAGGATCACAAGTTTGCCACCCTCTGTAATTAAGCAAGAGTTATGTCTTGTTAAGAATGAAATAAAGAATAGAAAGGACTGGGAATGTAGCTCAGTGATAGAGTGCTCTTGGGTTCAATCCCCAGTAGGGGGGAAAAAAAGTAATTTACCTTGTGATTACTTGTTGCCTAGTTTAGTTTTTCTAAAAGATTATTTTGTTTCAACCTTATAAAATGTTGAAGCAGAAAAATAAGGATTGGAGTTTCTGTGATATTCTTTTTTCAATCAGATATACTGATAAAACTTAACATGTTTGTAACTTTTTATTGGATTGTTGAACAAAAAAAAAAAGAGATTCTGTGGTCAGTCAGATTTGAGTAGCAACAGTGTGGCACTTTTTTTTGGGGGGGGGGGCTTAGAACCTTTAAGGGGTTAAAAGTAAGGATTGTGAATCTCTCAGAAAATAATAGGGTACCTGTTTTTCAAAATATTTTATCTTTCATTCTTGGTTCTTTGTAATACACTTGATTCTTTTTATTTGTATTACGTTTGGTTTTGCTGAGAGGGTATCAGGTCACTTAAACTGCTACTTAAACCTTTTCATAGGTTTTTGCTGTTTTTAAAAACATGGAATTTTACCCTTCTGATCTGATGCTATATGTAAATTTTGCAAATGAGGTTCTACTCAAAAGCAATGGGGGAATTTGTAATTTAAAAGTATCCTGAGATGTATCAATTTTTTTTTTTTTTTGGTAATTGTATCATGTAATAGAGTTGGAGGTAATTGAAGGATTCCGAGACTGGCTGTTAGGATGAGTCATAAAACCAGTACTATTAACATCGTTAGAAATCATACTGGAATACTGGATATAAAGAAGTTCTGAGAGAAAATAATTAATTGCTTAATAAGCATTTCCTCAGTTTTGTTCCTTAGAAAGGGAGAAGTTAATAGGTGCTGATTATGAACAGTAAAAAATGGGAAAGGGTCTTGTATGTTACACACCTATTTGGGAAAACTGCTCTTTGAGATTCATGATTAGTAAGATTAAGGATTCTAAAAAGTCCCCAAACCTGTTAGTTTAGTTTAACCCAGTATTCTTAATTACTTTTTTAATAAAACCTCCTCATCCTTTTTTAGTATCCTGCAAAATAGTATTCTGTTTCTGTGGTTTGGAAATTCTTGACTATATTTCAGGTACCTAGAAAGTGTTAGAAGATACTTGAAGATATTTGAAGTGGTATCTTTATACTTGACACTCTGTCCTTTGGAGAGTTGACTAAAGCAAGGGAGTTCAAGTAATTGCTTTCTAGACAGGGGAAGCAAAATGAATACACACGGAATAGCTGTATGTGATAATCCACAGTCCTTGTTCATTATCATATTATAGACCACAAGAGGAAAGTAGAAATTCAGAGACTCAGAGAGACCTTTTAGGTATCTGTGTTAGACCAGGAGTATTCCTAATGATGGGGCATGATTCTTAGCTTGAGAAATAGTGTTGGCTGGTGGAGAGTGTTCTATGAGAGGTAATCATTGATGGCATCTATTACCTGTCTGTGAATGGAGTCAGAAATAGATTGAGAACCACCGTTGCCAGGGGTGTTGATGGAAGAGATGTAGGTTCCAGGAAAAGAGACCAAAGAAGAGTGGTTAAAGGCAAAAGAGTCCAGATAGTATCTTGCCTTGGGGAGTCTGCAAAAGGAGAAGAAGGTCGTTTTGTGTGTGCATGTATGTGGGTTGCTCTGTGTGTGTGTGTGTGTGTGTGTGTGTGTGCGTGCGCGCTGCTGGGATAGAATCCAGTGCCTTGAATATACTAGGCAAGTTCTCTACCACTGGGATATCCCCCAGCCAGAAGTCATTCATGATTTTTTTTTTTTTTTTTTTTTAAAGAGAGAGTGGGAGAGAGAGAGAGAGGGAGAAAGAGAGAATTTTTTTTTTTAATATTTATTTTTTAGTTATTTGCAGACAAGACATCTTTGTTTGTATGTGGTGCTGAGGATCGAACCCGGGCCGCACGCATGCCAGGCGAGCGCGCTACCGCTTGAGCCACATTCCCAGCCCCATTCATGATTTTTTAAAAAATATCTTTATTTTACTTATTTCTTTTTATGTGGTGCTGAGAATCGAACCCAGGGCCTTACACATGCTAAGCAAATGCTCTACCACTGAGCTACAACCCCAGCCTGTCATTCATGGTTTAATATTCAGACAGAAGTTAATTGGATTTGTTTATAGAGAATCACCAGAGAAGTTGCACATATGAAGGTGGAAGGACCCAAGTTTGTGTTCAATAAAAGGGTGGCCAATACCAATAACAAAGAGGGAATATTTTGGGAATGGGGTCCCTTAGGAATGTTGAAAAGTTGTTTTCTTGAGCTATGGTTCCTGACCTATAAACTGAGAAGTCATTACAGGGTATTCATTGCTTGATTCATACTGTACACAATGTCTGTAAGTTGAATAAAAATTGTTCTAGATCATTGAATAATAAAAATTAGCGCACAAAATGTTCTGTATTTGTAAAGCTGAGGAATCACTCATCAAGAGCTACAAATAGGAGAGGCTAGCTTCAGAGGTTGGTATGGGGGATAATGTCTCTCTCTTGAATGTTTAGGGAAGGATGAGTGGTACATAGCATACTATAGTATTAGAAATGAAGATGAAGGTTTCAATTCTATAGTGAGAATCTACCAAAAATGAGAAAGAAGCTGAGAAGAGAGAAATAGGGATTGGAGAGTAATGTGTATTCTAGACTCTAAAATAATATGTGGGGGACGTTTGAAAGTTAGGCAAAGGATGAATTAACAGGATTGGTCAACAGTTTGGGAAGGCCCATATAAAAGTGGACTGAAATGAATGGATGAGTTCTGCATGTCTGTCATAGGTGGATACAGGGTTGGGACTCAGTAATAAGAGCACAGTGGTCCCAAAGGTGCTGACTTGGCAGAATGATAAAAAGTTGTAGTATGATGTGAATAGTCAGAAAGAAATGGGAAGGATAGATGGACTCTTTGAAGACTTGTGAGAGAAAGT